AATCTGTGCCACGAGAGCCGCGAAATTCGGGCGGATACGCGTCGACGTCGCGCGACGGCGCAACAAAGAGCGAGCGGCTGCCGAAAAATAACGTGACGAAAAAAAAACAACAAACAGGCAAAACAGAATAAAAATAGAGCAGAATAAAATAGAGCATTGTCGCGCTCGGCGGAGAAGCGGTCGGACCGGCGAGAGAAATAGAAAGGACCGGCCGCGCGAGCAATAATTCGAAACAAAATGTCAAGCGGGCCCGCCATTGTCGGGCGCGGTGGTGCGGTAGGCGCCAACTAGCGCCAACGAGAAAATATCGTCGACAGTAAATCAAGGTGCTCCGGCAGAAGAGCGAGCGGGCCCCCTTTTCACCCTCCCCCCGTTCATCCCTACATCGCGCCGGACGATCCGCTCCGGGCAGCCGCACGATCGCACCGGAGCTCGCTTCCGTTTTTCATCATACGTACGTCGTAAATAAGCCGAGACGGCTCGCCGCTTCGATGTTTCAAGGTTGCCACCGCGAGCTTCGGTCGTCCGTCTGCGTTACGGGGACAGTGAAAATCCGCGACCGGAAATCAACGACGAACACGACCCAATGATCTTTCGATCGCGTAATTTGAACGTGTAAAAAAGATGCAAATGTATCTAATACAAATTATATGTATCTTATCATATAACAGATGTATATTTGCGGACGAAGTACATTATCCAAAGCTGTGAATCTCTTATTACACAATATGCAAAAAAAAAACTCAAATTAATTGAAATGTTTTATGCTCTGAGAGAAAGCAGATATTCAAGATCATAGAAATATATAAAGATCTCGTGGATGTTATTAGACAAACGTACATGCGAAAAGATCTACGAGCAAATCGCAACATATGTCCTAGAAAAGCGCTAGCTTGCACAAACGAAATCGTTTAGCGACGCCCGGTTGACAACGAAACGCTGTAACGAGCTGCATCGTGAGACCGATGTAAGCTGCGTGTTCGCAGTCAAGTTACATAATCGTACCGAAAGACCGTGACGAAGCGGGATTTGGGGTGATCGATGATAAAAGACAAGTACTTAGCTCGTAGAGCGCGATGCTCGATTAAAAATTATCGTGTTTTAATTTAAAAACAATTTATAATAGATATTTCATAGAGAGATAATAATTGTGGAGAAATTGAAAGATCGCAAATTCCACGAATGCGAGAAATGACTCATGTCATCTTCCCTTGCCGAAGACCCTCCCGAAGAAAACGCATATCCGGTGATCGAAAGCACAATGGTGGAAGGCGAATGTGGACGTCAAGACGCGGCTCGTCTGGCGAGAATCAGTAAACCGAGAACTTAATGTTTCGGAACGGACGCCATATTAGCATATCCGCGTCCAATCGTCGCCCACGTGGCAAGGGTGCCATGGCGAATCGGCCCCGAGCTATGACATTGTCATTATTTCACTGACAGAACAAGCATGCGCGCGATTCTCCACGGGAAGTATCGCTAACAAGGGTGGGAAGAGAGCGGCGGACTGATCGCGAGGGAGGAAGACAGATACAGGGCACTCGATTTAAATAAAAGCGTGGAACTCTGATTTTGTAATGTGTAAGGGTTCGCTTCATCACCTTATGTGTGTCTTGTTTTTTTTTCTCTCTCTCTCTCTCTATCGCGATTCTCTTTTTGTTAACTTATTTATATAATTTTTTAATGAGTATTTTTTACTTAATAATTATTTCCTTTGAGCTCATTTGTATAGATACAAAAAATAGGCGACTATGATCTAGTAAATAAAATTATTTAATATTCAATATAATTATAATAGTAATTATATAACAATATAAATGTATACATACGGCATGTATGTAAGGAAATATGTTTCTACAATAAAAGAAAACCAATGTAACAGCAAATGTTTTTCAAAAATCAAAGGAGAAGAATGAGACGAAAAGAAAATAAGAGATGAAAGTGGAGCAAAACGTTTCGTATAAAATACAGAAAAAGAATGGCGAAAAGAGCGAAGGGATGATGAGAGTTCTCAGGGGGACTCTTCGTCGGTTTGTAAGGGATACAACTATCGTCAAGACTCGGGTGCTCCATGTTATTTATCTTTATGGACCTCGGGCAGAGGGTAAGTACACTTACTTCGGGGGTGGTGAAGGGACGAGCTTAAGCCGGAACGAGGGCGGTAAGAGATTGTTTGTCGTATTGGCCGCGGTTTCGACGAGCTTAACGTTACCCGTTTAGGGGATTTCGAGATAGTTCCTCTCTCAGAAAGAAAGACAAAGCTAGTTGTCTCTACGTAAGAGTTTGTGAGGTGTCTTTTGTCCGTGAGAAATTCAACAAGTCGATACGCGTAAATTTATATCTCAACGTAATAATTTGCCAATCAGAAGTCTCTTACAGTTATACACTTGAATTTCCAGTCAATTATTAAGATAAAATCAATGAGATATTTTACATATAATTTATCGTACGTTCTGTGCGCTATTTTATTAAAATATAAAACGTGATAACAAATTGATTCCGGTGGTGGCGAATCGAACGTCAGGGAAAGAGGTCTCTGAGTGGCCAGAAATTAATCTATTGCCGCGTAATCGGCTTTCGGTGATTTAACACCGTGGAGACAAGAGAAGGACGGACAACGTCCGTGAAGTGAAGGGCAAGATCAATTGTAGCGTACATCTTGGAAGTTACCGATTGTGTGTGAAAAGTGTCCAACAAAATCACGCACATACAGTAAAAAAATTCCAAATTTTTTGATTATAAAATAAATTAGAATAATATAATGTATAAAAGAGAGGGGTGTGTATTGTAAAATACGATGAGTGATTTAATGTCACGGATATTCTTTTATTAATTAACAACGATCTAGATTACATACAGTGCTTATGTACATCGTGATATTTACATCGAAGTGATACAACGTGATATATCTAGATGAAACAATTGTTATAAAATAAAACAAAACTTTTCGTGTGATATATCTCTATATATAAAGAAGTAGATTAAAAGTTTATTATACATACGTACATATTACACTTAATTCTAAAACAACATCGCACAAGTTGCGACACCTTAGTCGCAAGGTATTTCTTGTCAGTACGCGACAGAATCGTAGAATCATATAGATTATTGAATTGTTAAACGTCTATACGATACTTTTAATACTTTTCTCTCAAGTCGATACACATATTTACTTACTTATTACAGTTTCATAATTTATAAACGCAACTCTGTTCGGTATTAAAATTTTTTATTACGAGTATTTACACGCTACTTGTGATTATTGCTGTACAGAATACTGCGAGAGAGTTTTTTCATCTTAGTCATTACACCTCTTTTCTCAATTTTTCTGTATAAATTATCTTTTTTTCTAAATTTATTTGTATCTCTCGAATTGCAGCATATATTACAATTAAACCATTAATTCTCGGAAACAAAAATAATAATATTAATCATAATTTTACAAAGTTTCCGGTTTGCTCTTGTGAATTAAAATATTATTTCTATATACGAAAAGAGAGATAAAGCTCTGGCGGCCACGTCGGAAAATACGGCACGATAATTCATGTAATTTTCGGACAATATTAAGCCACTCGGCGACAGCTTAACCCTATGTTAAGCCGTGCACCGTCGACAGGGACGTAATGGGGGCGGGGGGTGGCAGCGGGGGCGGCTCTCGACGGTGGTTGGAGGCCGGGCTGTATTTAAAACGCGAATGCGCGCTGGCCGATTCGCCGTTTGAAGTTAAATGGAGTGTAAATGGCAGATAACAAACCGGCACTGTTTCCGATTACGGCATTCATTGTTTCCTACCATTATGCGCGCTCCGACGGTTTGTGTGTGACGCGGGTTACGGTTTACGATCTATTTATTGCCACACCGCCCTCACCTCCGTACACATGGCCGAAATGCGCTTTACACGCTTGCACCCTTCCCGCCCTCCCGCACGCGCAAACCTTCCGCATCCCCCGTCGCTGCCGCCGCCGCCGTCGCCGCGCCCACCGCTCGTTTCACCTGTCCGCCGCGCTGTAAATACGCAGCAAATATTTTAGTTTCTGTACCGTGGAAATGGAGTCGTTCGAATGAACCGTATGTAATTTGCGAGTATATCGAAATACGACCGCGATTATTTTCTCTCTCTCTCTCTCTGACAATTTTAGCACGCTGCTTTTCCCCAAATATGCGTGATTTTGAGATACTTTATCGCGACAAGTGCTTTTCGCGTTCAGATCTGCGTATAGATACTGAATTCCTCTTGTGGAAATAATCAAATATATTTCCGGACATTTTCATAATCGTCGGATCTGTGAGAGCGGATAATAATTTTCTTTTCATATTTTCAACAATTATAAAACTGGAGATGCAATATTGTAATATTAAACTCGTAAGTAAGTACTTTGAAGTTTTTTATACGTACGACAAGTATATATAGAGTGACTGATTCGATTAACGATTTGTGCGCGACAAGGATTAATTGATCTTACAAAGAGATTAAGGATATCTATCATTGATGTGTGTTTGTGTGTGTATTTACAGTCTTAAAGTTAAATAAATTCTTATTCTTTGTTTTAGTATATTTCGAGAAGTTAAATTTATATTTACAAAAATTGTTTCCTACCTAATATTGACTAGACAGGGAATGTCTTGATCGCATTGCGCGCGAGTTACATTAGAATACCTATAAATATATTTAATTTTTTCCCTATGATATTAGATTTTGTTATCGTACACGTATACAATCATTAATGATACATCTATACAAGTAGTTTCAGACGAGTCGTTGTTTTTTTTTTATCTGTGAGTTTTCGCTTACTTTTAAATCTCTTAACTTCTCTTTGTAACAAAAAGATGTTAATTGTACGGTCTCGTTTTGTTAACGAAAACTTGATTCTAAAGCGGCAAAACAACGCGTAGGTAAAAATTGGCTTACTAGGTCGTATACATCACATATATTCATGATGGAAGAGATGCGTGAAAAAACTTCATTCAGAACTATTGAGAAAAAATGACAATATTGCAAACTTGCATAATTTTGTGATACGTACTTTTCAAATCTTTTTATTTTGTAAAAAGCTTTAATTGTTTTCTTAATCTAATCAAACGCGTAATGATAAACGGACAATGACTTTTCATCATCATTATCTAAAAAAAAAAAAAGACGCGCTGTTCCAGCAATTCAATTCTCAAAGGAATAGCCAGCCGTCAGAATATTATTCTCGGTCGGCAATTTTCGGCGTCACTTACTGTGAACGGGAGTAGCTCTTCTCTTTACCTCGACCTGATCGACGATGCCGTCGCTCTCCTTGTCTTGATGCGCAGTCATGTGCCTGGTGAGGTGATGCCTTTCGCGGAAGCTCTCGTCGCAAACGGGACATCTGAGCTTTTCTTCTCTTCTCCTCCTAGCCGCCTCGCCGGCGTTCTCGTTCTTATGATGAGAGCGCATGTGGTAGACCAGGTCGGAAGTCATACGAAACGACAGGTTACACTTGGCGCAGACGTTCTGCGCCGGCAGAGTCAGAGCAGCCAGCGACGGCGGTAGAAGACCAGCTACCCCGGCGGCTGTGGCCAGAAATCTCGGTCTGGCAAGTGCATCGGCCATTGGCGGAAACACAGAAATAGGATTGTAAGGAAGATTAGGATAGACCGGCGGCAGATCCGGTCGAAAAGCTGGTACCTTCGGACTGGGCACTTTGGGCGGCTGAGCAATCTGTGGGATCTTCAGATTTTCCAGCAACCCCGTCTGAGCGGTTTCCGTCCCGACTGTTAAGAAGGGATACGCCATCTTGGTAGGAAACGGCGCGTACTTGTAGCTTGTTGCGCCGGGCAACGACACCACAGGTGGACTGACGCTACTCTGATAACTCGCGCGGTCGTCCGGCGATATGGATGATCTAGGTGACGTTTGGCCGTCGTCATTGAAGCCGTTTCGCTGACTCACCAAGTTGACTTTGGTGAAGGCACTGCGGGACTCACCGTGACGATCAGTCCCGCAGGATATACCGGTGTCGTAGACTTTCGCGCAACCCAAGACCGAAGAATCCGGCGACTCCGGACAGGCGGAGAGCATAGGTTGATGACTAACGAAGGTAGGCGGACTCGGTGTCTTCGGAAGCCTACCACCAGCCGGCGCGTATCTTCTTCCGTCGGAATCCGGAGATAGTCCCGGCAAAGTTGGCGTCAGAGTCCTCGGGGATACGTAAGGTGGACTCAGAGAATTTTCGGTGTAGTGCAATAATCTCCTCCTGTCCGAACCGCCGGAATCGTTGTCGTAGTGCTTGATTGTGAGGTTCTGCGGCAGTCTGTCAGTGTCCAGAACGTCCACGGAGATGTCGTCTCGCGGACGATCCTTCCGGCTGGTTACCAGTCGCAGTTTCTCACTTTGACGACGTACTAGGTTCTCATCAGGTGCTACCAGGAAGGCGACATCAAAAGAGCGCTTGCTGGTTCGCTGAAGGGGATACGAAGCGTCGGGTGTGACGTCGCTGATGGACGTTGGACATGCTGACGTCAGCGCTGTCGTGGTCGGTGTTGAGGTCGCGGGGGCGGCGCGGTCGATGCCACCCGTGCGATCTTCCATTGTCATCCTGCTCGCTCCGGATGATCAACCTGCGACAATGACAGCGAGTGGACGGTTAGTGCTAACGTCGCATCGAAGCGGAGTGATTGATCGCCTAAGATTCGATACACTTGGCCCAGATGTCCTACATTGCAAACGCATAATTGGAGCACAAGGCAAGATACATCGGAGATGCTTATGACGAGGTAAGATACAATATATTTTTTATTTTTAACGCAATATAATGAAACATAAAATTTACGCAATCTGACGAAACGCAATTAAAATTCTTATTATTTTTCTTATAAATGTAAAAGTGTATTTTATAGTGTGTGCGTATAAAAATGAGAGTGTACGATTTGCTTGACTTATTCGCGTAGTACTTAGAACGTAGTATTTATTTAATTGAGAAAAGTATATTATTTAAAAAATTATGATACATAATTTGGTTTAATTTTATAATTATTTCATTTCTAAAACTATGTGTTTTCAAATATTTATGTTCCATTACGTATAATTGCATAAAACTGCACAAAGCAAAAATTTACTTACCGGATTTCAACAGCAAGTGTTTTCTTCCAAACACAAACGGCAAACTACACTGGTCGGACAACGTTTTCCATCCTTCCAGGATGTTTCTTCGATTTTTTCTAAGACATCAGAGACCGCACTTTTTTTCACAAAGCAATCTCGCCGAAACCGGATTCTCGCAAGCACGCGAGTTTGTGACAAGCCAACAGGGGAGATAAAATCAAACCCCTGACGGACTCACCGATCTGGTGTACAGTCCGAGGCGCACTAAAGTGGCGAATACTCGGAGCCGTGGTTCGCGTTAAAATGAGGGTGCTGTTCGCGCATCCCCCGTATTTAGGGGTAGCTGCCGCGGAGGGTAACGCGAGCGTGGCAGGTGGAGGCGCGACAAGGGTGGCACCGACCAATCCTGGCGTTCGCAGCGTTATACGGGGGTGGAGCGTAGCAACGGGGTGAACATATTCGCTCGTCGGGACGCGTCTGCTAGCACGGTCCAGACCACGCCTACATATTTCAGGTTCGACACATGTGCCCGGGATCGTCGTCGTCGTCGTCGTCGTCGCCGTCGTCGTCGTCGTCGTCGTCGTCGTCGTCGGCTCTTGCCACCTCCTTCCTTCTTCGTCTGACTACCTTACTCTCTTCGCGTTGCGCAACGCGTTCCACAGAATTCCGCTCTACCGAAGTGGTAAAGGTGACTGCGAGGGGGTACCAAGTACGACCGGGACCTGTAATTCAGCCTGACAAACGATCTTGAATATTTTTAACGCCCGCGCCCCGGTCTCTGCTGCTTTTTTATGGCTGACTCGCGGCTATATTGGACGTTCGGCAGACTCTGCTGATGAAGGTACGACGACGACGACCGAATCGTTCCGGAAATCAGCAGGAAATATGAAGAGCTGCTGCTTAATGAGTTCGGGCGATACGAATCTCAAAAACTCGTACGCGCGAAAGCATTATAATTCTATCGCTGACTCTAACAAGTAACTTCACATATATTTACATATTTGTACACTGTAATATTTTTTTTATATTTATTTTAATGTGTACTACTTTTATATTTCCATCATCATACTTGAAATTAATTTTTCTTGCCATTTGTAAATCTTTAATTTTGCAAAGATGTTTTGTAAAGTCGTCGAACATAATTATTGAAATGAAGAACAATTGTAAGTTAACTAATCGTCTCCTCGAGACTTTTCACCTCAAAACGAATACAGACGGTTAACATCGTTTCTCTCATGCCGAAAAATAAACTCTTGATACAAGTGGGCGCAGCGAGCAAAAAAAAGCATCGCCACCCACGGAACCAATAGGCGATCAATCATACGCCGGTGATCTATTTTACCGGGCATGTGAGAGCCGTCGATTTCTTACGCGATTTCCGAGTTCCCGGCAAATCCTATGGGGAACGCCGCGAGGTTAAAGGACATTAACTTCTTGATTGAGTCGGCAAAAAGTTGTAATGACTTTTCGATTGGCGCGTCCGAAGGAGATAATTTCGCGAACGAGTATTTGCCAAAGACCGTTACCGTTTCTTGCACCTTATATCTATAGGAAATCCCAGAAGCGCGAGATCTTCCACTCTTATCTCGCAGATATTGGAAGATTGAACTAAGAAAAGTGGCAGTTGCTTCGGTATCGGAGAAACGTGATTTTATATTGAAAATTTAAAAAACTTCTGTATAAAATACACAAATATAAATGAGAGAAAATCCGCGACAGTTCAATAAGCCCGAAGTTGCGTTTTTTAGTTTCCACGGCTCTTCAGCGATTTACATGACCGGAATAAATTAAACAAGTCGGGGTCTTATGCACAGCAGACAGTGCGACGTGCGATATGGCCGTAAGTCTAATCCTAATTCGAAGTCGTAAAGTTGGGAGAGTGTCGTTACGTGTGACACGCGTCGCACGACGGGGCGGCTGCGAAACGTCTCTGTATCTTGGCACAGCCATTCCTGGATTATGAACCATATTTATTGCCGATCATACAGCGCCGTTCTCCACGAGCTCGGAGAGAGACGAGCGATATATACCTTAATTCTGTTTTATACCTTCCTGCCGCGTCTTGCGTAAAACAGTCTTCTTGTCGAGATTTACTTTTCCTCTCATTTTTTTCCTTCTCTTTTTTAATAACAATATGACATATATAAAATGAAAAAGAGATTTAAAAAAATTGTTTAATATTATAAATTGTTTGGTAATATAATAAAATAGTAATAGTTGAGGAGAAAAAATAAAACTACAGTAATAGTTTGAATAAATCGATCACAAAATAGTAGATTCGTTTCTTGCATCGCGCGTTTTCGCGCATCTCCCTCATCGTTTTCATTCATCCCCCTTATTCTCACGAAACTGTAACGCGCAAACTGAAAATTCGTCTCGCTTAGTTTACACTCCACAGTCTCAAGTAGAAAAATACGTCGTGCGTGAGAATCGCACTTTGCCACCATCTGCCCGTGTTATTCTGCAAATCGGCCAGAAAGGGCAAGTTTCGCGCCGCCTAATTCGACCAAGTTAAACGCACGAGCGGGCGCCGTTCGACACGTGACAGACACGCGTGAACCGTCAGCATCGAGCGTGGGTCGAAAGGGCCGTTTAACGCCGATGTTGAATGCCAGTGAAAGGCACTTTAACACTGGCCAATGTCTGTTACATAGATTCACGAAAGGGACACCTTACATGACGCGTGTGCTTCAGCTCGATTGACTCTTGCATGTGAAATTAATACAATTGTCAAGTGAATACTTTCGTGTGATCTCCCTCTCGTCACTTGGAGATTAAACATTACCAAGAATTTTACATAGATAGAAAGACAAATTCTTAAAATTCTTTTTTAATTGCTAATTTACGAATTAAACATTTTATACAAATTTCAAGTGTTCAAATATATCTATTCAAAACATGAAAAATATATATAAATATAAATATATATAAATGTATTTTATTTATTTAATTTTAATTAAACATACATGAAAATAGATATTTAATTAAGATATATATTTAATTTGCATATGTATCTTATAGATATATTTTATAATACATATGCAAATACATATACTTATTCACTCGTTAGTGCGGTAAAAGCGTACTTTATACGCGTTGCTTAAACTCGCAACTCGATCGTGTTTTATGCGATGCTTTGCGAAGGGAGTAATGTCATCCGCTTCTCGCATCGCTGACGCGGCTGCATGGAGCGAGTGCACGCGCGTTTCTGCCGGGGCCGCGCGCGGTGATAAATATGCAGCCGATGCAGTTGATGAGAAAAGGTCGTTTATCAATCACCCATTAACGCGGCCCCGCTGAAAACCTGCTCGCTTCTGAGCCATATTTCACAGAATCATCGCGATTCCCTTCCGGCCGCTTTGGCCGCACGCTCGGTTTTCCATTAAAATTCGCGATCCGCGTTGTTGAAAAGCAACAAAAGTATGGAAGCAAAAAATCTAAATCACCATTCGACAATTCCGTGCAACAATGTAACACCTAAATATGAATGGAAATATTGTAATAGTACTTGGTCTTTTTTGAGGAGAAAAAAATTATGATCTCACAGATAGTCGTTTAAAAAAAAATTCTAGATTCCAAAATTTCGACAATCGAAAGAATCAAGTAATAGCTGGAGAAAAAACATTCAAAGAGAAATATTATTTTTTTGATTATACGCATTGCTACTTCCTATTTTAAATTATATTTAATTTGACCCTTTCGCAAGCTTATAAAACGAGATATCACGCGGAAATAAGAAAATACGGTGAGAGATGAGGAAAGGTTATGCTTCTTCAGGAATTCTTGAAACAGGGTGGCCTCGGCTTGACAAATTGAACGTGCGATAAGTTCAGAGGATTGTTGAAATAACTGGGCGTGGTATACATACCCCCGAGACGAGAGAGAAGAGAGATTTTCGAGATCAGTGCGGGAGATTTAGATTTTATGGACATTTAGACAATTCCTTGACTTATCATCGGCGTCATGCATATCAAATGAATCGACCGCTGTTTAAAACAGTAATTTTGCAAAGACATTTTGTAGCTTTTGTAATTTTACAATATCTGAACGTACATTTTCAGATCGATGCAATACTACTTGATCCATCGAGAACAAAGAATAATTTTATTTTAATATAAACTTAAATATTCAGATAATTATTCTCTCAGATACTTTATACAAAAAAAAAAATTGAGTCATCATCGTAGGTAAATTGCATTCGCGACAATGTTCTTTGGCAACCGCAATATCGCCCCATACCTATCCTACCGTATCAGAATTCTCAACGTACGCCATTCTTCCCCCGCTTTCGCCCCTTTGCTCTCCCTATCTATCCGTCTATCTCTTCTACGAGAGAAGTTTGTCCCCGCATTCGCTCTTGTTGATATCGTCCCGACGATATCGAGTCACACGCGCGCTCTCTTCGTTCCCTCCGCCGCGGTTGCTCCGGGGAATTTAATTCTATTCGAAGCGCCGCCTAAGATGCCACCTTCGGCTCTTATCTCTGTGCACAC